AATGTATATATATATATGTATTAAAAATAAGCATTTACGTAGGTAATGAGTTTAAATATTTTTCACATTTATTTTGAATAAATGATCACCGATGTTTATGATAAATTATTAATGTGTATTAACATGTGTTGTTTATAAAGGTACCAAATTCGTATCGATAATAAATAATTAATATCAAACAGAATATTTCACATACGCCACTCTATCATTTATATTATAAATTACTCTTATTATTTAATATAATGTAAAAGTACACTCAAAATAAAAAATCAATAGAAAAATTACAAATAATAATTAAAATATAATACAAATTATAATATTTATATCGAGTATTTTTTTTTGTTTTTTTTTCTTCCACATATTTAATAAATATTATAAATAAACGATCAGTATTATAACAATATAATAACATAAGCTCTCCACACATAATGGAACGAAATTCGATTCGATACTCAATAATTGATATTAACTAAAATATTCTCATGCATACACGTAAAATAAATGGTATGTTATAATTCACTCTTATTATTATTATTATTATTATTAATAATAATATGAAAAAAAATACTAATCAAAATTAATATAAATAAATAAATAATAAAACCTGCGAGAGATATAGTTCGTAAATAGTTTTACTTCGCGAATTGGAGAACGTGAAAGAAATTAGAAATGTCATTTTTTTTTTTTCCTTTCCTTTTATTTCTGTTCTTCTTCTTCTTCTTCTTTCTCGCTCGGGGCGATTTTTGCCAGGTCATGTTAAGAATCACGATGTATAGAAAAATAAAGAAGAAAAGTCAGACGACTGACTATTGTGTCGTCCAATAGGAAAGAAAGAGAGAGAGAGAGAGAGAGAGAGAGAGTGAGAAAAAAAAAAGAGAACAAAAAGATAAGGAAGAGGGTGAGGAGGAGGAGGAGGAGGAGGTGGGGGGGGATGGATGACACGCGATATTTTTTCTAAACACCTGCCAATGTGCAGCAGCACCTTCGAATGAGTCAGCAAACATACTTTTCCTAGTATTTCCGAAGAAAATATATCTGTGAAAAAGAAAAAAAAAAAAAACCAAAAAAAACCTCCCCTCCTCCCCCCAAAAAAGCCACGCTTACAAATATATCGAAGTAAATTAATAAAAATTCGATTCGATTGGAGAAGGTATATTTAATATCGAAAGGGAACGAGGGTGAAGAAGAAAAAAATGACATTTTGAAGTTTTTAGAAAGGTTTGACTTTTTAAAGCTGACTAGTGTTATAATATAAATCCTAGATAAATGTCAGCCATTCAGCGTATCTCGATCGTAGATTAAATCGTTTTTCTTTTCTTTATTTTTTTTTTTTTAAAGTCACATCATGTACTACAACGATACTCGTTGTAATTTCACTTCTAATTGGGTGTTAACTTTAATTCGCAACTGATCATCATGGTGATGTAGATTAACACAAAAAAATAAAACAGAAAAAAAAAAAAGAAGAAATCTTTTTCAAAGCAGTAATCGTATCGTTAATTTATTCATTCATTTTTAATCGATATATGTGAAACAAAATATATATATATAATATCTTCGAATGTTTTTAATTAAAATTTGCTGATAATCCTTTGGTTTATGCAAATACGTAAGAAAAAATTTAATAGGAGAATCTCGTATATTTATTCATATGTGTCTCTACATGTACGTGTACGTATTAATGTGTGTATAACTTAAATCCAGATTATTTCATTTTCAAAAAAGCTTTTATTAATATTATATGTACGTTTGATTTCTCTAAAAGATAACGAATTGTATAAACGTAGATACATATATTAGCCGTGAGGGGTAGGGTGGGGTGAGGGGGAAGTTTGGAAAGGGGTGAAGAAATTTCAGTATAATATAGATTATGATTTAAACAAGGTGTACCATTAGCTTAATTAAACAAACGTATCTTGTAATCAACGAATTAATTCGCATTACACAATACCCATGCTCGATAACAATGGGGTTATATTTGTGTGAATAGTAAAAGAAGTTGCTCGTTGATACGACTAATTAGACACTGGTTATTATTACCATTTCTCTTTCTATCTTTCTTCTCTCATTCTCCGTTTTAATCGAAAATTCATAATTCTACTTTGCTTTTAGCAATGTGATTATAATCGAAAATAAACAAATTTTTCTTATTAAACGAGACGTATACACGTGCTCGATTTGTTTTATTGTTTACCAATTAAACGTGATACTTTTGATTGAAAAACACAACAAAACAAAAGAAAAAAGAAATAAAAGAGGGGTCCGTAATCAAATAATATTAATATTACAATTTTCATGTAAACAAAAGGAAATTATACATTGGTATATTTGAAAGATGTTAATTAACTTATTGTATAGAGGAATGTCGAATCAAATCAGTGGAGGAGGAGGAGGAGGAGGAGGAGGAAGTGAAATTGGAATGAAATAAAATTTGATAGAAAGTTAGTCAAGAACAAATTAATATAGAAATGGAAGAATTCTCTTTTGGGTAATTTTCATTATGGTTAATAATGTAGAAAAGAAATACACTATACCAGTACCATATATCACATAAATCCACACATTCATATGGCACAAATACATTTACGTTTATACACATTTATTGGACATTTACAATAGTCCGACTGTAGATATAACTGTCTGAAAGTCAATATACCCTAACATTGTAGTAGTTGTATTATGTATCTTCGTATATTGACTTTCATACAGTCAGCTACCTTCAGTATGGCCAGTATTCGTGCCCAGCAACGACGACGAACGCTTGCTTACCTTAATTTCGCGGTCTTAACTAAAAAGATATTTTTCTTCTTCGAAAAAAAAAACTTAGAAACCTTCCAAGTTTCTTTCCACCCTTCTTTGGTACTACGCGAATCTTCTTCTTCATCTTCATCTTCATCTTCTTCTTCTTCTTCTTTTTCTACTTATACTACTACATCTTTTGTAAACGTACGTAAACACACGATTTATTTAATACATTTCTCTCAAAATAAAAACAACATTTATTTTCCTAAACATTAATTTAACATTAAAATAAATTCATCTCTCGTTTATATAATTAAACGAAAGCTTTGAAAATATAACTTCAATGTTTAAACATGGTTCTCTCTTTATAGAATTTTCACAATGTTTGATTTGTTTTAATATCAAGGGAAAAAAGATAGAGAGAGAGAGAGAGAGAGAGAGAGAGAGAGAGAAATATAATAATAGAGACTCGGTATCAAATATCGTTATAAATTTCAACGAAAAATTGTATTCAAGTTGCGATATTGTTAACATCGACAAAAAGAGAGAGAGAGAGAGAGAGAGAGATGCAAAATAAAATTAAAAAAAAAAAAAAAGATACGTTAAATAATACGCAACACAAATTCTTTTCGTTTTTATACGTTATAACAAGAAAGGGAATATGAGAATGAATTTGATAAATCATTGAAAAATTGGACATTTTATTGGATGGTTATATAATATTACAATACGCGAGGGCACACATATACACATAAACGCAAAGAATAGAACACACATCGATTTATCCGTTTGGTTTCATGCTAATACGAGTCTGAATAGTTTATCAGGAGGCATCGATCCGTTGTTAATACTGACTATAGCTATTATGTGCATTAGTATATCTACATATATCCATTCATACACATATACACGTACATATATGTATATACATATTTCATAACATTAAATCAATGTGTCGATATTTTACAATATACATTTATAATCTGAATTAAAATCAATCCGTAAATATCAATTAAGATCATTTTAAAAATCATTGTTTACGTTTATAATTGCATATTCTCGTTTTTTATTATTAATCGATCAAATTTCAAGGAGAATATTTTTTACATTAATTAATTGTTATAATCTCTTGTTAATTACGATTAATAATAATGTGTATTATTTGTGTATCGTTGATATTAAAATTTAGAATAAATAATTATCATAGGGTTTAGAATTTTGTGATTCTTAAGCTAATTTTGATATTTGCCACACCTAAGCATTTATGTTATACTATAGAGACCCATATACGGGTCATCCATGTTAACTACCAACTCATAATGGGATCGTAAAGTTATACAGTAACTCGTATTCAAATTATCCCCTTTCAAAATCAAATTGTTCCTTTGTTGTTTGATAATAACAATTACAATTGATTAGGTATGTTAAAAATTAACCCCTATTTGTTAAGTTAATTTTATTTATGGGTTAAGTTAATTAAATATATTTCATTTTATATTAGATTTTCTTCGCTGATTAATAATTTATTCATTTTTGATTGTATTTTTCTAGTTAACTGTGGGATCGACAAGAATAGTTGATTAATTTCATCTAAATCAAAGGCCATGTCTTTGGATTTATATTATTTACCAATGAGTGCTCCCTGTCGTGCTGTTTTATTGACTATTGAAGCCCTAGGTTTGTCGGTTAATTTAAAGGAAATCGATTTGTTAGGTGGCGAACATCTACAACCAGAATACGAACAGGTCAGTAATTAAATACCACATTTATTTAAATATTAATAAGGAAATATACCATGCACGTTGAAATTATTCATGAGCTTTTTACTTGTTTTTTAAAAGACACTATGATGATTTAATTCGATCCATAAATTTAATTACATTTACAAATCTATGTTCTATTTCTATATTATCATATCGAAATATTAATATTTAATTCATTTTCAATCGTTTCTAAATAATTTTTAGAACATTATATATATATATTAATTTTGTATTATGTTTTTTTTTTACAGCTTAATCCACAAAAGACTATACCTTTTCTCGTAGACGGTGATTACAAACTTTCCGAAAGGTTTAACACATTTGTTCTATTTAATGAAAATAATTGAATGAAATTAATACGACAAAAAGGAAAAATACGTAATATTAATTTGTTATTAATTTCAGTCGTGCGATAATGTGTTATTTGGTTGACGAGTATGGTAAAAATGCAAGATTGTATCCGCAAAATCCAACGTTGCGTGCATTAATTAATCAAAGATTGTACTTCGACATCGGGACGATTTACAAAAATCTCAGTTCTTATTACGTACGTAAAGAAAAAAAAAAACAAAACAAAAAGAAATGAAGAATGATTAATGAACAGTAGAAAATATTTGAAATTTCCCATTATCGAATTTTCTTTTATTCCTCGTCGATGAAAAGGGCTCTCGGTCTGGAGATAAAAAAAAAGAAAAAAGAAAAGTTTAAGATTGAACATAATTAAGTTTCACATTGTCAAGAACCATAACCCCTTTTTCCCCATATTCATGATAATAGCATAAATCCCCGTTGGCACAGAGAACAAAAATTTAAAGCCTCAGCTTCTTTTTTTTTTTTTTT